GTCCGCAAGTCGGGGCTGCGAACTTCTCCCCTCCCGCCGGCCCAGCCCCGTCCCGCGCACTCGGCGACTCGCAGCTCCCGCACCGTGTCCCCGGCCCGCCCCCGCCTCCTCCTTCGGCCGCACCACCCCCCCTGCCGGCCGCGCTCCTCTCGGTTACAAAGGAGGGAAAATGAGCCGGGCGGCGGCTACGCGGCGCGGGGCCACCACGGCGGCGGTCAGCGCGGCCGCCCCTGGCACCACGTAAAACGCCCCCGCCCGCCCAGCCGCGGCCCAGGCCCGGGCCGAGCCCGCCGCCCGCCGCCCGCCGCCCCAGCCCTGCGCGTCGCCTCCCGGCCCGGGGAGGAGGTGCTGGAGGAGGAGGAGGCGCCGCCTTCCCGGCGGCGCGCGCCCTCGCCGTTGTCTTTGCTCCGCTCTGGACCAGTTTAGCGAAGTTGCCGCGGCCCGGCGTCGCCCAGATGTGCGACCTCATTGAGCCGCAGCCGGCCGAGAAGATCGGCAAGATGAAGAAGTTGCGGAGAACTTTGTCGGAGAGTTTCAGCCGCATCGGTGAGTAGCGCACTGTCCCCCGCGCCCCCAGCGCCCGCGCCCTCGGCCCCGCGCCCCCCGCCGCGCTCCTGGCACTAGCCATGCAGCTGCCACCCGGCTGGCGTGGAGTGAGCTGCGGGCGAGGGACCGAGTGAACCGTGCTGGCCACCTGAGTTGGAGGGGGAGAGAGAAGACAGAAAGGAAAGAGACCTCTCGCCCCAGGACCTGAGGGCTCATTTGTGGACTGTCTTCAAGCCTACAGTTTCGGTCTTCCCTCCCCGCCACTCGTGCTCCCTCTTTTCGCGCCCGTGGGGGACGGGCAAGGGGACAGCTCGGTCTCCACCGCACGCGAGGCTGTAAGGCCGCTTGGGTCACTTGTTATTTTTTGTACGCAGGCTTTGGTATTAGGCCAGTGATTTAGCTTTGGAAATTGGTGAAGCGTTGGATTGTGCCCTAGTATTGTTTAACACATCCAACCTAAAGGGAAGTGGGACAGTTACCTTGGGACCTATTGTTCGGTACTTCGGGTCCTAGAAAGCGAAATTTGGGTGTTCATTTTCAAGGTGTCCGAGTCTTCCCGCTGCTGGAGAGAATGAGCGCTGTTAAGTTGTCTGGACATTTAAGAATAAGTCTTCTGAACTTGTTCCATTTACAAGAGCTCAGGGGCTATTGTCTGTTAAATCAACCAACTGAGCAACAAAAACCCACCCAGATCTGTTCAGGACACTAAAGAATAAATTCATGTCACAGGCTATACCAGGGTGACAACAGTGTTACGTGGAATGGGGTTGTTAGATTTTGCGTGTTGGGCTTGAAAACGCCCTTTAACCTGAAGAAGCTAGCTCCCCTACTGTCAGAACTTTCCTGGATCCAGGTAACTGCGCTCAGGGAGAGAATGCTACAGGCACAGAAAATTACCCCTCAGAGTCCCTAAGAAACCCTCTAGCCTTTGTTTCGCTTGTTTCACATGTCATCCATGTTAATGAAGGTGCTAACAGAAGTTAAGCATAAAGGTGCTTCATTTCTTAAAATAAAACCCCGGAGAGCACGTGAGTGTTGATAGTCATCTTTCCACCCATTCATTGTAAAATAAGCAAACTTTCTTCAAGAAAGAGAAAACAATGGATCAAAATTTAGCCGAGGGTTTGTTGTTACTGTCTTCTGACTTCAAGTTTTGTGTTTGCATACAGAATCTTTGGCAAGACGACTCTAAAGTTAAGGTGTAGAACCCATCTTTAGTCCTGGTCTCTTTTCTTGCGAATATTGAGTATTAGCAATTTCACTCTTCCAAGTTAGGAATGCATGTGTGTGTGTGGGGGGGAGTTCCTGCATTCACAGGAGTTTGAAGCCAAGGAGCGTGTGAAAGAGCAAGGTGTTGAGCCCAGTGCATTATTAATGAGGATTAATTAATAATGCTCTGACCCAAAATCTTCACAGATGTGCGTTCTGGAGTCCATTAAGCCCTGTTCTAAAACACATTCACTGTATATTTACTAATGCTAATGATTCACTTGGAGCCCCTCCAGGTTTGTGTTAAATAATTTATCACAACTGAGTCTCAGCAAGAAACCAAGGATGTTAATATAAAAATTCTTTATGTTTAAATAATTTCAAGGTTTTAATAGACAATCAGTAAAATTTGGATTAAGTACAATGCTGGCAAATGGGCATTATAGTTAATTGGATTTTCTAGCTTACTGAGATTTAGTGATGTGAAACTCCTTTTGAGCCTAACTCTTGTTAAAATGTCCTTTAAGATCTAGTGGATTTTATATCCTCTCTTTAGGAAATAGAGTACAGAGCATTGAACATAACTGATTATTTCTCGTATTGATGGAAGATCATGATTCTGAGTAGCATATCTCATTGTGGAATAGTGTAAAGGAGATATTGAAGTTTTAGGTGATTATAGTTGTCTACCAAACCAGGACATTATTTAAAGAAAAATAAATGTTTCTTATCTACTAGTTAACTTGGTGTTTTATATCCTGTTTGCAAAATTGAAAGCAGTGAAATTACTGATTGAGGATTTTTAAGGTGCTAGAGGTTGTTGAATTGAGGCTTTTCCTTGGGGTTGTATAGTGAGGAGTTAGGGATGTGAGCTATGTGTGAGACAGACTGGGCATTCCTGGTGTTGCCACGCCCAGCTGAGTGAACTTGGATAGGTCCCTCAACTTTGTGCTCCACTCTTTCTTTCTTTCTTTTCTTTCTTTTCTTTTCTTTTTTTTTTTTT